ATATAAATACAGTGTCCGTAAAAGGACGCGCAAGTTATAAGACTTGCCAATGGTTTACATTACCACATGCGTGAGTATTCATGCCTTGATTTTAGGAACATTATGGCACCGTCCACTGTTTGTTCCGCACTAATGTCCTCATCTGATGGTCATCGGCTACATCACACCGTGTAAATGTGTCCCATTACCATCCAGTCGTTTTTAAAAAGTGATAAGTTGAATGCGTTAATTACTTGCTTCGGGAGGGAACTCTATGACTGTGACATTCGGAGGGAGAAAACGTTCCGTCGACATACCAGTCGGCTGTACTACGTGTCCAACTTAAACTACTTACCCCTTAGAGATGTCTTTTGGATGAGCTTCAAAAGATAGTGGCATATGTGATTGAGATTTCTTTGAGTCTGATACATCATCACGATTTCTCCCCGTAGGTGCTGATAACGTCCATTTTATATGTCGAGAGTTTTCGGCTTCAGGTGGTAGGGAAAGCGGGACAAAGCTCTGACGTTCATTGTCGCCCAGCTTTGCGCAGGATCAGGCGCGGCGCGATGGTGCTTCTGCCAGCGTTGTCACGCTTGCACAGCGCATTCTGCATGAGGTCTCAAGTATGTACCATGCAGTCTCGGAAGGACTGAGGCGTCGAACTGCTCGAACGCTCTACGAAGGAGATAGAAGTGCTTGTTTGCTTCCATTGATGCATTTCAGTCTTCGTCAAACAATCCCAGTCATATGCAGGAGTACGCCTGACAATCCCGGCGTAGAATTTGTGACTCCAGTGGTATCCGTGAATATTCTGATGGCGTATGCTGAGAACTTTGCACTTGGTGGCGTTGGACTGCAGCATTGTCTATGTGAAGCGCTTTTACGATTTATTCAGATAATCTTGTAAGGTTAGGGGACCCTGCACCATAGTGGTAGCACGTGATTTTATCATCGACAACTAGTAGGAAGTTAGGTAGTTGCCTCACGAGACAAATACTGGCGACCAGAACCAGGTGGGGCCTTAGTATCAAACCATGAGGTAAGCTGCACTGAACTTCGATTGGTTCGGATAGATCACTTTGAACTCTGACATCCAGTTGACATTGGAGGAGAAAGTCGTCTATACAGTCCAAAACATGATCGCCGATTCCATAATCCTGAAGAACGTGCAGTAGAATAGCATGGTCCACATGGTCGGATGCCTTTAACGGATAAGGGTAGGCGGCATCTACTCCCCCACCAGCACCCACAGACTCTATCCAGGATGCATGCGCATCAATGGGTTAGGAGTTCAGGCCGATTTTGAGAAATCCGTGCTGCTCCGGAACGAATTATATTACTCTCTAGGTACTCAATGAGCGGCTCAGCTACAATGGACTACACGATCTTGGAGATTTCCGCAACTAGCGTCATGGGGCGGTAAATCGATGTTTCCACACGGTTAACACTTTTGTAGATTGGATGAGTTATTACGTGCAGAAATGACTCGCCACTAAATAAAGTCACTGCCTCTTCCCTTTCTGGAGCATCATTCACACATCACGAACGTCATCCAATTCGAAGCGTACCTTTGATTCCCCCTTTGATGGCGAACCCAGCGAACAAAAAGACACAGAGTTATATTTACATACACAACATGGCTACTTCCACATACATACTTAACCATACTTATACATTTTAACACACACACACACACACATAAATTTCTATGCCATTGGTCAAAATGTAATAATTTGTGCAATTGCCGATCACACATGCCCTGATCATGCCCTCGATAGTGTGCCTCGCTATGACGAGCATAATTTATTTATTTATTTATTCATATCGCTGGAAGAGTATTGCTAACAGTTCGTCTAAACTCATGGCAGCCACTTTCAATGCCTTTGAGCGAATGCCGCTTGCACGAGGAGAGCTGTACTCGCGTAAGGACATCCGATCTTTCAGTAGAGCTGCGGTTGTAGGGGATACATGGTTAAGGCCTGATGGCGGCATGATCTGCTTAGACTGGATGTAAGGTGACTGTACACTTTGAAAAGTATGGCCAAATTGTTGTCTAAGTAGGTTGGCCATCTCTTGTGTCGTTTCTGCTAACTCGCATGCTATGTGTAGAGCGGGAATTCCGCGCTTAACCCGGCCGATTTTTACCTGTTAACCGTGTCACGGGTGCCGTGATGAGATCCAAACATTGTGAGGCTTGACGATAGCGAAGCTAGGTCCTTGTATTATGAACACCTTGTGCGTTTGTCTTCAAAGAGTTGAGAGAAATGGATCCCAGACGCACACCTGAACACAAAATATTTACAGTGCATTTAAACTGACCCTTGGATATCTTTCTGACCCACATCCCAAGGCCTATTCGGGATGCTGCATAGAGAACCCATTAGCTAATCCTCCTCCATTTCGGACGGCTGGGGAGTTGCACTGCTTTCCGGCTCTAAAATACGAAGTACTTAAATGCATCAAACTGACATTGGTTTTGTGTCCGCTTAGACAATGGTTGCTTGGGTTCGATTGCATTTAGACTTGTATCTGATTCCAAATTACATTGTAGCTTATGCTCACCTCCCAGCACCCCTTCAGTCCTGTGGTTGGAGTACAGCAACACTTTTAGCGCCCTGAGTAACTGGGTGATATGGGTATCCTTGAAGTTGATTGGCAATCATGTCGTGGAGATAGAGGTTTTCGGGGATGTAGCACCACTCTCCCAAGTCATGAGCAAGACTGCATTTCGGGTACACCATGGACAAACATCGATGTTTCAAAGTTTTATGTGGGGTATTCTTTGTTTTGTTTCATTCGCCGACGCTCACTGTAAGGGACCTCAGCGAATATGCGAACATCACATGACGAACCACGAAGACGGTGAACTGACAACAGGATGATTTCCGTTGCTCCACCTGACTGAAGTGTCATCTGAAGTAGCCTTGACTTGGCATAGTGAACTGAGTTTTGGTCGCGGACGATACGAAATAAACTAGCCTGTTTCGCCTGTATTCCTGTTGCATGGCCTATATATTCCCATTTTTCCAGGCACATTCAGCATATTATCTTCAACTAGTTCCGCCTTTTCTTAGTTTTCGAGAAGTTTCGTCTCAGTAACAATTATTTGAAGCTACAGTATGTAGAACTTACCGCTGTCCAGGAAACAGTTTATTCAACGCCCCTACATTTTCACTAGGAAAGCGTTTGAAGTATCAAATATTTTTAATGGACTGTTAACATCCTAACTTAATTCGCTTAATTATATCAGTGAAGGAAGACCTGTGAATAGACATCGTTGAAGATGGATACATCTCAGTTCCTTTGCCACTCGAATTAATAACTGAAGTGTAGTTCAACCGATCTTCTAACCCTGTTTGTATACATCAAGTTGCCAGATAACTAAACGCTCCGGTTTTGAACTGCCTGACTAAGCTAAAGGAGGCAACTTAAGCGAGCCAAATCAGGCTATAGCACTTTTTGTTCACATATCATTAAAAGCACCTGGCGTAAAGCGTTATTATAATGAGGGATTGACATGCGCTTCAATGCAATCCAACAGAAATGGTCGGTGAATCGTCGTGATTGAAAGAAGTCATATCAAAAGAGAGTATAACAAAACAAATACACGGTCGTCATTCTGCAAACCTCAAAGTTTGGTCATTTTGAGTGTTTCTGTTCAGGCTACCTTCTGTGAAATTTGGCATTATTTTGCGTACTCTTACGAAAGTGCGCTGATGAGCAGGTTATCATTTGCTTGGGCAGACCCGTCTCAATTGTCGAAATGGTGTAAACTCTCTAGCAGTAAGATGTGCAGATGCAAGAATGGTATACAAATAGTGTGTCTTTTTCACTGGTACGAATGAGAGTTTGTGTATACCCTTTTGAAAACCTTTTGGGACTTGGCTTTCTACAGGTGGCTTTAGGATACGTCAGCTTATCGCAGTTGCGACTATTTTTCTACCATATATTATCACCCGCCCTAAGTCATCAAGACATTAAGAATAATTCAGGAAATAAGAGCACAAGCTCAAAATTGATTGCAGTTAATTTGCATTGCATCTTCAGAAAACACTATCCACATGTTCTTTCCCAAAATGTTTCCACATTGCGTAAAACCCGGAGGGAAATCACGACGTATTAAAATAGTACCGAGCTAGACAACTTAATGTAACCGCCTGATATATCACTTCATTTGTGGAAGTGTGGAAATCAGATTATTAATGAGACTAGAAAAGCGGCAGTGAAGGTAAAAGTCTACTCGGAACTTGGAGTGTTTCGGAAGTTTTCGCATTCATATTGCCAGTTATTGTCTGGCCTGCAGTTCCATTAGTTATTTAGCCACCTTTTAATTGGGCTTGATACCGGTAACCTCGGAACTGCTGACCGTGCATATGAAAGCTTCATAAACAAATGGCTCCAAAACTACTGGTCCAATGCCAATTCAATTTGCTGAGTACAACTCCTGACAATATACTTAACTCCGTACATGCGATTTCAATGCCCTGGTATGAATCTGGGCCCGGTTCTGAAACCAGCAGCTATATTTTGCCGCCATTGACATAGAGGCCCGTATGCTGCCAAATGATCATAGCTTGCCCTACACAAGGAAACCTTGTTGAAATGCAATTATTCATTAAATTACGTTGGCTAGTGTCTATATCTTTCCTCCAATAAGCAGTTAAAGCAAAAGGGGAAATTTAATTCAGCTTAAAGCCCACATTATCTGCGCACGTTTCTGTGTGAATGCTGTTAATTCATGAACGGTTTCTCCAGGCAAATCGAAGAGTACACGTTTGGTCATTTGGGCACCAACTCGAAAGGTAAATGAGGGAAACATGGTAAACTAAAACGAATCGTTGAATTATTCCACTGATAAGGTGCACCATCCCGTCCATCTTTCTATGTCCTTCCATTCAAACAGTTACTCCAAAATATTACTGAAAACCTCCCAGAACTCGAGATGTTTACAAGGATCAATCACACGCTCATTGCAAAACCATGTGTAATCATTTCCAAGCCTACATGAAAGGACTCACCTGCTATTGAAGCCTGGATGCTGACAGGAGTCCAGACATTCAGATTGACTTGGCGAAAATCCGTAGATCCAACTAGTGTGAAAACAATGATCCGCTAATGGAGTGGGTTTTGAGCATCAGCGTAACCCTCGGATAGCGCACAGCAGCGTTACTTGTATAGATAGAGCGCCACTTCACAGGCCAGCACATTGGGCAGTTTGAAGGGAGCACGTACGATTCAACAGTAGATAAGCGAATGCGTATTTACCCCGAAAAAGTGTCGCGCACAGAGTGTGCTGACGAGGGGGCGTGCCTGAAAGCTGTCCGTGTGTTTAAGCTGCATACACTGTTACTCGTGGGGTGCATCCCTGACCGGTTGTGAGGGCGCAGACACACACGTTCTGGAAACCAACACAGCACTTTTCCCCTGTTTGTGCAAACGTACCCACAGGCGGGTCTTCCAAAGTGTACCTATCCAAACCGCAGTCCTCGCTGTGTTCATGTGTGCCTGCGGGCTTATTCAGCCATGGTTGATATATACATATATATATATACATATATATATATATATATATATATATTGAAGAACTAGTCTAGCACGCTTTAGTGAGTTAAAGTTGATCTTGGTGCGACACTGTTTCGTCGCTAGCGCAACTCAGGTGCACTAAACATTGCATTTTACACCAGCGCTTGCGTATGCCGGCATACCATTGAGTGGCTTGCGGAAACATGTAAGCATAATACCGAAACTGATTGTTAGACTGCCTTAAAATTTGCACTTTCAAATAGCCTTACGACTGCGACAGTGAAAATTAGGAAAACTGATTATTTCCACACGTAGTTGCTCGAGAATTCGACCACCTTGACAAATAGTGTTGAGACGGCTTTAAACTAGTTGTCAAATGGAGCGTATTTGAGTTACGATTGTATTCTTATGTGTCAATTTCACATGGCAGTACCTTGCAGTTTTCCTCCTATTATCTCAGCCTTCTCACAGTGCCAAACAGAAAGGGAAATGCGATCAACATAAGCAGATATGTGTATCCATAATGAAGAGTTAGGTTCGCAGTGTTCATTTGGTGCCAGAACTGGCTCCAACTCTGGAATTTGTGCAGGGGTTTTCAGTAACGGTGATGATAATATCACCGGGTGCCGTTGAAGAAATTTTGGCTTAATCTTCCATGCTTAGAAGCAGAGCGTATTCTAAGACATGAGTAGAAATACGCGCCATCCGAATTGACACAATTGTGACAGTAATAGACTGGATTGCTCCAGGCATCAAAGAACTGATGGAAGAGAATCTCTCGCTAGGGGAGCTCCATCCATCAATGTAACGGTGGTTCGATTATATGGTCTCGGATAAAACTGACACCGAAACCATTGAGCACTTCTCTGGTATGTGTACACATTAAACCGGCTTTTTCTGAGAAGGTGAAGAGGGTGTCAGTTTCGATTCTTTCGTTATTTCCAGATGAACCAGCGCAGAGCAGGCACCTACCCAATGCCACAGGTTAAACCTGCTGACGGGACTTGCTGAATATGCCTACCTAACAATTAAATGCCAGTTAGATTTTTACCAACAAGAAAGTACAGTCGATATTTAAGTAATTTAACACATCGTTTATTTCTTGGCAGTGCTAGAGGTCTTCATGCTAAAACACGGAATGTCAAATCTCATATCATGGTTCTGACAGGTACATAAACATCAGCGGATATAAGAGTATTCAGAAAACGCAACCGTTGCACAATTCACAAAATGATCAGTCGTTTGCTTCGCAATAACACATCTTTAAGGATGGGAAGTAGCAAAGAGTCCTCATCGGGCAAATTCCGCAGGAACTTTTTTCATCCTGGAGTAGTTCAGCATAGTTATGGCAGTATGAGGACATCTGGTAGAACACCTAAAGAAAGCTTACAGCGGTCGTTCACCAAACGTTTATTAGGCAAACGTTCTACCAGGATCTATCGGGAGCGAAATAAACCAATCTATCTGGATCCGCTTTGGCTACGAAGACCAAGGCATAACTTGGGCCTGCTGTACAATCTGAATCATGGTGACACCTAGTTCAATCTACGCACGTTAACATTGCAACGCGGTTCCACTCGAGACCTTTGTGAAAATTAATTTACCCCGAATAAACCAAGTTACAGGATGAACAAGCCGTCTCACTTCTTTTACTCAGGATATATCGCTTGTACAAGCAACAACTGGACTTGGGAACGTAGTTATAATATCAGCTAAAACGCCACTTGAGCGCATGCATGCATGTGCTCAAGAAAACGAAATAACGCAGTCGACGTTTTACAAACGGACTTACCAACCGCATTTGATGACGATATCTCCTCGAATGTTCACTACACTGCTGATCTAGATGACTCCGTTGTTACTGCTGACTGCCTGCCAAATCAACCTACTTTAGTAGCAATGTCACCTCCTATCCAGGCATCTAGTATTATCAAGACAGTAGTATCAAAACTGAACTAACGCTAACGCCGACAATGTCCACATATCTACATAGGAGTCAAATAACTTTTTAGCCTATCATCGCCACAGATGGCGCCCGCGTTGATCTCAAGAGCTGGATCAACACCACACAGGATTTAACTTGGAAGCTTATGAATAGCAAGGAAATTTCTGTCTCCGGTGACACGCGCCGTAGTTTTGCAAACATTAGCAAAGCCACACCGGCTACCTAGAACAAGTTAAGGAAGTTGGCACCTCAGCACATTCATAGCGCTATTCTGCTACAATACTAAATATCACAAACCTAAGAGCGAAGGTTGCACTTAGTCTTCCAAACAACCTTCAAACCCATTCCTAGCTAGCTATTATTTAGATTTATTGTCAGCCACACGGTCGCCACCATAATGAATTAGCAGGCCTCGCATTTCTTGCAGCAGACCACCAATTTAGCCCGAGCAGGCCAGAAACCAGCAATGATTATTCCGACTGCACTCACGCAAGTTTCTGCACTATATTGGATGGTGCCCTTAGCCCAAGCATATACAGACAGTCAGTACATCTACCGACTCCACATAGATCTGTTAGACTACTTTTCTGTCAACCATAAAATGCACCAACTACGTCCTCTACCTTTTCTTTCCTCTTATCATATCGTACTTTTCACGGAGAGTTGAGAAAGCAAACATAATTCTGATACACAGTTTTACATCCCAAACTTACGAAGCTTTAGCAGCCGCCGTCATGGCGGCTACTATAAATATGTGGGCAACAAATACCATACAAGTTATGTGGGGACCCCATTCTAAATGGCCTTAATGACTCAATTTGCGTTAACACACAAATAAATTTCAAAGCCTTCATTATTGGTTGTGTGTACAACAGATCACACTGTGGTAAATCGGAGACCGATCACCTCGCGGAAGTCTTCTTACATGCTTCTGAGCAGTCGGCAACTCAGAAAAGATTAGTGGAGATTTCTATCTGCCTGAGATCGCCTGCTGTCTTCCACTAGCCATAGTTACATATTTGCATTTTGTAACAACAAACCATGTTTTTGATTGAACTCAATGAATGTCATCTCAAACAAGTGGTGGACACTTTCTAGTGCTAAACTTAACAAAGACAGAACCTTTAGATACAAATGCGTCCTCTCCAATCCTCATGGGAGCGACTGCGATATAGCAGAGAGCTGCTCTGAAGGATTCATCTCCAATCGATTATAAGGTTTCGTGACTATCACTATATTACCTGTATAGATTTTGCAATAAAATAGTGATCTCCGGACTGGGACTATTTCTTCTTCCCTGACCCCGAGCATGCGTCTTGTGTACTAGATAAAAATGTAAGCTGATGTCTAAATATCTTCTCCTCAATCCGTATTACGCGTACTTCCCTGAAGTTTAGTCAGAAAACCATTCCGCAGCACATAACGCAAAAGCTTTAGAGGCTACGATATATATTTAGAAGGAGTAACGAATTTGGTCTGTTACTTCAGTACAAGCGAATAATTTCTTCCTTAGAATAGAAATGCTCCTCAAAACTTATCAGAGATTGGCACACAATACCCAAGTTTCATACAACAAACCAAAGGAAATGACTAGATCACTTCCGTTAAGGAGTAACTCCAAGCATGACATACTACCTTACATTACATTGCTTGACAACAGCCTTCCTACAAACCCAGCTCAGACGTGTGCATATTTCCATGAATATGCGAATTCATTGTTGCCCGCCTGAAAACACTGTAATCCACTAAGCATTTCCATCTTGTTTGATCTCATCAAGTAGATATCAGACATCGAACCCTGGACCATTGGGATGTTATATGGGTCCATTATCCTTTTAGACATCGATTCACGACGAGCGATGCTTGGCACAAAGGCTAATGACGGATTGGAGGATCATTTTGAGATATTCGTTTTGTGAGTGAATGGCGACGCGCACTCTTAAGGTGGACTATGCTTTGCATTGTAGCTAATCGGTCAATTCGATCACTAGGGCTACAGATGAAGACGAAGATGATGTAGATTGTGTGTTGTTGCCCAACTGAAACCACTACACTTCACCACACTTGTTGAAATCTCATCAGGTAAAGATAGCAGACCTGGAACCCGGGACCACTGAATGTTGGTCGTAAATTCGACTGCTCATAGTGCGTAGTCAAGATCACGTTTTACTCGTGTCATCATGAGGCCAGTTTCCCTCATTACTTACACTTCTAAAGTCCTTTGTATCTCGGTGTTTTTGTGTACTTGGCTATCATTAACGCTTTGGAACTATCTAATCAAAAATATGTGAGGTATTTTAGTCTCGTTCTCGCGATCCGCTATCACATAAATTCAGTCTTATCGATCGGTTATTGTTTTTGTAATGGTAAAGCAGGTTGTTTGTGGTATTTGTTTAAAAGTGTTTGGTCATCGCGCAAGTGCTAATACATGCAGTTTTTCCAGCGTAAAGGTCTATATTTCCGGCATCTGTCTATCCGCTGACCAAGTTAAAGTTCTGTGTATCATTTAGTAAGACTTTGTTCAAATATCGCGTAAACAATACTAGACTAAAGTGCCATGATCAGCAGTTGAGAAACCCCGCGAGCGAGCAAGACGGGCGAAACGTTCCACAGCGAGGAGTGTTGTTGGTTCATGCTACCCATCGGAAACTGAGCCACTCGTCTGTCTGAACGAACCCATCAGCCTGCCGGTTGCTAGTTCTCCGGGACGACGTCCATCCTTTTCTAAAAGTTTAGCTGATGTGCTGTGTCTGTGTTGCGTTCTGAGGTCGTTAACGTCCTTCCGTGTGATAGCGTGTGTAAAGTCCAGTGGTGAGC